TTTTGCGGCTTATCATAAATATCATCAGATTTTACTTGATGCTTAAGGTATCTTTTTTTGTAAATTTATTAATTTGTAATTGTATAGTGTTTTTATTGATTAGTCAGCTGTCAGACGATTTAGACTAGATGAACGTCGCAGCGTCAAATAAAATCATCCAAATTGACAGTATCACATTGGCTAGTTCACGAATTTAACTGGTTGACGAACATGAATTAACGTTGACGAAAAAAACGTTCAACGACTCCTCGCTAGTCTTCGTCGCTTGCTTATGGATAGAATTTAACGCGCTGATCATAGCGCGAGAACTCCTGAATGCAGTTTCGTTTTCGGTCCTAGTTTCGGTAGGTTTTGTGCCGAAACCGAAACTAGTTTTTTTTTCCGAAACCCGACCGAAACGGAAACCGATGTCCAGCGTTCCACAACAGCGCGATTTTCAAGGCATTTCCTGCCTCGCACAACCACTCTGTGAAACCAGCTGCCGCCGGCGGTCTTTCCGAACCGTTACGACCTGGGAACCTTCAAGACGAGAGCGTACTCTTTCCTAAAAGGCCGGCAACGCATTTGTAAGCCCTCGGGTGTTGCAGATGTCCATGGGCGGCGGTGATCACTTACCATCAGGTGAGCCTCCTGCTCGTTTGCTGCTTTTTTCGAAAAAAAAAATGAACATTCGGTCGGTTAAGCCTTCCATGGACTTCTACAAATATTTCAAAATCAAAATTAGCCAAATCAGTCCAGCCGTTCTCGAGTTTTAGCGAGACTAACGAACAGCAATCCATTTTTATATATAAGATTATTGAATCAGACTTAACTAAATACATTTTTTTAAAACCGAAAATTTAACCGTTATTCTGCTTTAAAAAAAAAAGCGTTGCCCTTGATTTATGATAATAATAATAATAAAACCAATTAACAGCTCAGCAAACAACACTGACAAAAAGACGTTGGCGACTGCGCCACGGAGTCATCAATGGAGGAGATATATCGATATATAATAATAATAATAACCATTTCATCAAGTCAACAAACAACACGGGCAAAAAATAAACAATCAACATGTACATATATAAAAAAATATATAGAAAAAAAAATAAAAGTATAATTAATAGCGAAGAAGAAAAACTCTAATATTCAACAAAAAATATAACTATGTACAGAAAATGTGAGCGTTGCCATGCTGAGTCGATAGCTGACACCCCTATTGCGATGACCATCGCTGGTATTCTGCAGAAACCCGTGTGTTTGTTAACGCGATCTGTAGCAGATGCGTGAGATATTATATATCGATATTTCGAGGCTGATATTGATGTTTTTATAAATATCGATATTTTTCTTGACTTTCAGCATCCCTACTCCCAAGGATGATTCGCGAGGCTATTGAAATTAAAAAAACACCCTAATTTCAATATGAGAAGAGGGTTGGGTGCTACCCTCAGCTTAACATCCTATTATCAATAAAATTAAATCTAGGCCCAAAAGAACCACTACTGCTCGACAAGATAAAATAAGTTCATATTGTATAAAATTAATAATTAAAAACTGACGGTAGCCCTAGTTAACTATGATATTCACGCCCGTTTTCTAAAATACTGATCATCATAGAAGTTACTTAAATAACATTTGAAAAGCCATTTGACAGCTGATTAATTAATCTCTACGATGATCAGTGTTTCAGAAACCGGGCGTCAGACGTCCAACGCTTCGATGAACGTTATAAAGGGTTCGAAGCGTCGGGAATTAAAACTAAAAATAAATGCGATAAATCCGTTAACATAGTTCCATTTAGTAATGTGTTATATTGTTGGATCTATCATTATATAACTAAAATACTGCAAATTATGACGGTTCGACATTAATGAAACATAAATGCGTACAGAAGTAAAAGCAATGAAATCTTATTTTCAAATATATCCGTCCCACGATGTTATATTTCTGCATTCGTCTTGTAAAAAAAGTGAAATCGACGATACAATTTGTATGAATAAAAAAAATTATATGATCGCCAGAATACATCTAACTTTTAAATTGCATCGATGTTCATCAATCAAAAACACAGGACATCTAAAGATAGTTTAGACGATAAAAATCATGTGTTTTAAATCGATATTAATAAAAATCGAAATGTATGTAATGTACATCCCTAGCGTGGAGGGCGCCACTCAAACTCAAAATCCATACTAACGTAGTGAGCTAGAATTACTATGGAAGCTGAAAACTTTTAACTTCCAAGACTGAATCCTATGATTACTATGAAACCTTACCTCATCGTTTTACAAAAATTAAAATATCTTGGTTTTACACGTTCCTCAATGCTGTTATTTCAATATTTCTTTTCCAGAACGGATAAGTGATAAATAAATTTTAGGTATGACTAAAGACGCTCCTCACTCGCTTCATGTTTGGCCGCCATGTCTGAAGCTCGGCTGTAACATAAGAGTTCGGGTTGTGCTTTTCTTTGTTGTATAAAAAAGACAGTGATTTTTGTTACTGATAGACAATGAATTATTATATTTAGTTAATTACTATGAACTTTGATATATGTGGAGTGTTTGATAAATTCAAGCAATTCGATAGAGTTTACTTTTGCAGAAGTTACTCCTACATCGTATTTTTAGTTCATCCGCCATATTGGCGTTAATATCCTTCGTAAGTCTTTTTTCATAATTATTTGGCTTTACCACAAGTTTACTGTTATATTTTTGTGTTAATTTGTTCCCCTCTTGGTAGGACTTTCGTATGTGTAAAAGTAGAGTGTGCATGTATTGAAATACTAGTAATTTTGGAATTTTTGTTTCTGGCCTTTACCAGTAATTTTTAACAAATTTTAATCAAATTTATTTGCTCGTTATCAATTCTTTTTGTCTTAAAATTACTTTTATTATATTTTGCTTAAATTATAACTACAAAATGTATATTTTGCTAATAGAAAATACCTAATCCATTCAGTGAGCAAATCCATTCTCTTAGTTAAAACTGGAAATGTAAATGCTAATAAAATGTAATAAAAACGCTTCTAGAAGTTTTAAATATATTCATTTGTAATATAACAAATACTTTTTATTCTAATTTTTATCCCTTTTAGTCCTTCAACGCCATACGTTGTAATTCTGTTGTAAGTGTGAATGAAGAATATTCTAGAATGACTCCAATGGATAGAAATAATATCATTATATCCGTATTGATTCATTTTAATCCGTAACTTGGAGAAATTTATACTATAAAACTGAAATTTAATTTCCAATAAGCACAATTCATAGCAGGTCAAGAAATTATTAGCCGCATGAATTCTTTTATACATGCATGAATTTTTTATCTAAGTATCATAAATGCATATGAGCCAATTTTTCTCTTATTTCTCAAATTATTATACATTAACTTAAGGCAATGGTTAATTGGAATACATAGATATTTATATTTTAGTTATTAATAAACACTGCTAAAATTATGAAATAACAAGTAAATGTTTTGAATAGCTTATTGTTAGTCATAACCTATTAAGATGTTTTAACTTAACATAGGTCCATAGATAGTAGTGATATATTTTTCACCATAAGTTACTAATATTAATATATTACTTTAATTATATAGCCATTTATGTCAGAATTTCACCAGAACAGAATAGTGGACACAAAACAGTGTAAAGGACCATGGATGTTGTTTATTTTAAAATTAATTTAATTTGGATTTTGTACTGTTACAACTATGTTTAAATCATTATATTATTTTTTTTAAATAATTTGTAAGAGTAATATATTATTTAAAGCATAATATGGCTTACGCCTGGTTTCTGAAACACTGATCATCGTAGAAGTCAACTAATCAGCTGTCAAATGGCTTTTTAAATGTTATTTGAGTTCCCAAAAGGATTGTTTAAACTCTTTGAATTGTCCTTAAGAAGACCATTCGGAGCAGTTCAAAGAGTTTAAAAATCCTTTTGGCAACTTTTGACAGCTGATTATTTGACTTCTATGATGATCAGCGTTTCAGAAACCAGGTGTAAATCTACTATTTTATTTTACCTTGAGCTGGTTTGTTGCACTTTTTTGACTTGTCCTAATTTGGAACCTATTTTTCTTGCTCAAAGAATCTTATAATAATTGTCTGAGACGCAGTTTCGATATCTGCACCAAGTTTTTGTTTATTTATCTACAAAAATTTAAATTGTCAGAGACTATTTTAATGCACTGATCTGCAACAGATTTGATTTGTTTTCATTTTCAATTTTTAATTAGTGCAATAACTTCCAAACCACAACAATACATCTTTCAAAATGTGAGAAAGAATACAATATAGAATATTATTCTTGAGGGTTGATATAATTATATTCAAATTCAAATTCAAATTCAAATATTTATTTGCCATAAATAGGGTTACAAAGATGTTTAAGTACATGTCTGTCGCTTTAACCTATTTAGCTGTTTAACAGCATGCAAATTTAGCTTTATATTGAATAAACTAATTAAATGTATATCAAATTTAATTTTGGAAAAGCATCAGATTAGTATTATTAAATTTGTGATGGACTTGTTGACTCAGGTTTGTTTTCTGGAGAACCAGAAAATTTTCTACATGTTTCCTATTAAAAAAATCATATTTTAAGTTTATTGAGTTCAGAGACTAGCACTAAAAATTAATAATAAATTTGCATTAAGTCTTTCATCTTACTTTTGTTTCTATGTTCATTTTCAGATGTGGATCCTATGTTGATATAACTTCAAAAAAGTATTTTAAGATAGCTGACCCTCTGACCACCCTGCTTTGCTTTAAGTATGTTTAGGTATGTATATTTTAAAATATAACATTTTAAAAGTAAATAAAGTATATTCCAAAATATACTGCATTTGTAAACAAATAAATTTTTTGTGCTTATTTTAAAATAAAGAGCATTTTTAGGTAGATATTAGTTTTATCAATGATCAGAAAGTGGTCCTGCTAAAGGTGCACCTGCACCAAAAATTTATTATGATAGAATGGTTTAATGTTATTAGAGGATTTAGCTGATGCCTCATAGCCAGAAACTGGACGAACCTCTTGTAACAATTGAGGTGAGTTTTTTAAGGTTATTTATGAAATGCTTGGTATGTCACAGATTTATGATTTCTATGTATTTTAACATCTACTACAGTCATGTGTAATTTTGGTAGGTAGATAGCAGACTCCAGCACAATGCAGCAGGCTGTAGATCCTCTCGCAACTACCAGTACTGTGAGTGTTTTTAAATATATTTATAACATAACAGCATATTTTGCGTATGAAATCAGAGTGGCATAAGAATTTTAAGTTTAAATTGATAAATATTTTTTGTTTTTAAGTCTATTCAACATACTAATATTTGCTAAGACAGCTTTATTGATAAGTTTTGTTATTTTATTAATCCACCACACAGCCGACGGCAGAACCCGTCAATGGAACACCACCAGAAGATACGTCACGTCGACAAGGGCGGATAACAAATCAACTACAGTTCCTTCAAAAAAATGTGATTAAAGCCGTTTGGAAACATAAGTTTGCATGGCCATTTCATCAGCCTGTAGATGCAAAGAAACTTAACCTCCCAGTATGTGTAATATATACATATATATCTTTAATTTGCCATTAAATATTGACGAAGATTTAAATTTTCTTATAATATTTTTTCAGGATTATCATAAAATTATCAAAAAACCTATGGATTTAGGTACTATTAAAAAGCGTCTAGAGTCAAATTACTACTACTCTGCTCAAGAATGTATTCAAGATTTCAACACTATGTTCACAAACTGCTATGTTTACAACAAGCCTGGGGAAGATGTAGTTGTAATGGCACAAACCTTAGAAAAATTATTTTTAAACAGAGTAAGAATTTTATAATTTATTTGATATGGCCAGTAGCTGTAGACTTTATTGCTAAGACAATATTGTACATTGCATTGTTCAATGCTAACTAATGAATATATTTATTAGTTAGCATTTTGCCTTTTTAGTAGCCTATGAAAATTGTTTAAATATTTTCAAACCCTATAAACTTTTTGTTGTATTTAAGTAAAATAATTTATCTAATTAATATTAACAAATTTAGTTACAATCAGCCTCATATTATACACAAGTAGTATTCTAGATAATTATAGACAATCAAGATGATATTACAGTTGTCTTCAATAAAATGGATTTAATCAAAAGAAATTTTATTATTGTTCAACAGATAGCCCAAATGGATAAAGAGGAGAAGGAGATAGAAGTCCCATCTAACAGTGCAAAGACTGGTGTGAAAAAACGGACGGGCGTGTCAGGCGGTTCCATTGGCGGCACCGGCGCTGGAGCAGGTGCGACGGCGGGCGGTGCGTTGCCGGTCCGAACGTCTGCTAAGGCAACACCTTCAACTCCCTTGCCGGCATTTGTCGGTTCCACCAACACAACTACCACGCCCACGCTAACAGCTTCCGCTGCTACACCGCCCGCCACGCACACAGGCTTGCCACAGCAGGTAAGCTACATTCTCAATTATTTTCGTTCTCAACACAGTACAGTCCGAATTGTGTTAAGTACGAAAATAATGAACTTTTGAGTTACATATTTTTCTCCTTATACTTCAAAGTAGCGATGGGTCGTTGAAGGTATTTTCTTCAACTTAACGTTAACGTTGATTCATGTTCGTCAACTAGTTGATCAACTAGTTAAATTCGTCAACTAGTTAATGTGACACATACAAAAGTATGTTAAATAGCAAGCCCTTTCTTCTACTAGGGAAAACGGATGAAAGCTATCTATGCATAAATCTAACAAATCTGAATTATTTTTTTTCTTTTGCTCGAAACTAATTTTTTTCTTATCAAAATTAACCATCATACGCTGAAGATTGGTACTAAAACACTGATGAAAATATTTAAATATATCCGCTTCAAGTACTTTTTAAAGTTAGTGGTCAATTTGTTCCATATTTTCTCCTCGCATACATTACAAACAGCTTTTCCGCTAGAAGTGTCTTTTAGGTATGAAGCCATAACTCACTGTTAATATGTTCAATTATTTCGAATTTTGTACCCACAGTCCCCTATACACTGAAATAATCATAAATTAAAATAAAAAAAAAACCACAAAGTAAAATTCTGATACTTAAACAAAACTAATAACATAAAATTAAATTCCAAATATAACTAATTAAAAATTAACAAATTCTCAAAAAAAACAGTAAAGTTCTGATAATATTTACGCAAAGCCGCAAAATATTCTATAACCTTGCGCGCAACTATTCACAAACTGTCAAGCAAAAATAAAGAAAGCGAACTTAAACATGTCCTTCATAAAATTAAACAAACATTTCAACTCAATTCTGTGACGTTTTTTTCAACGTAAAGTTTACAATTCGTTACGCTTATGTTCCGTTGACGAAACGACGTTAACGAATTCAACTAGTTGATTTCAATGACAGTTAAAGTTAATTCGTTAACAAGAGATCAACGGTTGATTCAACTAGTTCGTTGATTCAACGCCCATCGCTACTTCAAAGAGAATAGTAATTAGAGAAGATTAGTAAAAACATGTGTTCTATAGAATGACATATCAAGGGCCTTAGTCAAATCAAACAATAATTTTTAAACAACTTACTTACTTAGTACTTCAAAATTGTTTCAAATTGATTCTAGAAACTTAGGCTGTAAAATGTTTTTTTGCAGGTGGCAACTCAACCATCTAGTTTTCATGTTACGCCATCAGCTGCAACACCTGTATCCACTATGCCAGCAGTAACGTTATCACAAACACAACCAGCTAAGGTACCATGCCATATAAAAGCTTTATTTAGAATAGATGAAATAAAATTTTTCCATCTAACTTGTAATGTAATTATTAGGTAAAAAAAGGTGTGAAGAGAAAAGCGGATACAACTACACCCATGGGTAGCTCATTTGAAGGAGGCTATACGACTCCGACTATTGAACAACAAAGTGGGCCTAAACCAGCCAAAATTTCTACGAGAAGAGAAAGTGGGCGTCAGAAAAAGGTTTATATTATTTTCTACTACCTGAAAGACTTTTTCATATCTAAAATAGAGCCAACATGTGAGGGTGGAGCGATGTCTCGTAAAAATGAAACAAGGAGTAAATTCTTATTAAAAACATTTTTCATACTTCTTACTTAATGCACTTCATCCAGCTTTTCTCTAACTTTTCGATTCCTTCCATAAAATACAAATTTTTAAATCCTCAAAGTATTGGTTTTGTGCACAATCTCATTGTTGGAGATAAATATTTTTCCATCTAACCATATTTGATTTGAAAATGACTTTAAATTTGGAAAAAGAGAATTAAGTGGGCTTAAGTGCAACTCTTACAATTTGGCCTTGTATGTGTTGTGTGCAATGTGTGTGTTGTCTTGGTGAAAGAGGATTTTCTTTTTAGCCAAGCTGTTCGTATTTAGGAATTATTTCACAAAGTTGGTTCAGTAAATTTTTATAATATTCATCATTAATCGTTTTAGCCTTGTCTAGGTAGTCAATATTTATTACCTCAATTGCATCATCATAGCTTGTTCATCTGTAGGACTCCACTGTTTTGATTTTTGCTTGCTTTCTGGTATGGTGGTGTATCAATGTTTCGCCTATTGATATAAAACGACGCAAAAATTCAGTGTTATTCCGTTGAAACAACGCCAAGATTACCTAGAGAAGTAGTCGCACGCAAACGCTTTTGATCAAGCTTGAAACGCTTGAGATCTCTACTATCTTCACTATTTTTGTGGACTTTCAAAAGTTTGTATTAATAGCAAAAGTTATATTTTTTAAACCAACTTTAAATGTTTTTACATAGCTTTCTTATGAATAGGTATGCAATATAAATTATTTTGTATTTATAATTTAAGATAGTAGTTTAAATTTATATTTGTAAAAATTAAAAAATGCAGGTTGGCCCTATTTTGTTAGGAGCAGTGTGGATACTATTTAATATTTTGATGATTTGTATAAGACTGTTTAATATTTTGATTGTTATTGGTAGGTTGGAAGAGTGGGAGAAGATAGTTTTAAAATGGGTGGATTATCACCTGGGATGGGTTCTGCAGGGGCAGCCCACCATTCTGGTATGACTCCTCAACTGGCTAAGGGCAAAGAGAAATTATCAGATGCCCTAAAGAGTTGTAATGAAATACTTAAAGAATTGTTTTCAAAGAAGCATTCGGTAAGTATGATTTCTGTTTAATTCATTCTATTCATATTATTTAAGTTTATTGAATAACCACTGATATTTAGAAATTTATTTTTTCTGAATTACAATTTAATCATATTGAGTAACCTTGAACAATTATTTATATTTTTTAAAATATTAATTTGCAAAGGTCTATTAAGTGTACAGTAAAGCAACAACGTATTCGACAGGGATATGCGTGGCCATTTTACAAACCTGTAGATGCGGAATTGCTCGGTCTACATGATTATTTTGATATTATTAAGAAACCGATGGATCTTGGAACCGTGAAGCAAAAAATGGATAAAAGAGCATACAAAACGGCTGCTGAATTTGCTGCAGATGTTCGTTTAGTATTTACGAATTGCTACAAATACAATCCGCCGGATCACGACGTTGTTGCAATGGCGAGAAAGCTTCAAGATGTTTTCGAAATGAGGTTAGTCCCATTATAAATAGATTTCTAGCTTAAGCTGGTATAAGCAGAAGTTTAGGTACTTATGCAGTGTTGGTTTATACAACCTGAAGATGGACTGAAATCATATTGAAGTGCACCAATGGTTTTCAGTTTTAAACAGATTTGTTTCATGTTTAACATTCTTTTAAGTGTAACATGTGTACCAGTTTCCCCTCAGGCTTGAGGGGAAACTGGTACACAGTAGAGATTTTTGATGAATCTTAAAGTAAAAATATCTGTTGTGTCCTAAATTCAATCAGTTATATTTATTACATTTTTTATTGATAATAATAATTAATACTATGAAAACGGCAGGTACGCCAAAATTCCGGATGAGCCCGTTCATGTCGGGATACCTCATACAATGGACAAAGGCAGTTCAGCGTCCAGTTCCGAGTCTGGTTCCGAATCTGAATCTGAATCTGATGATTCAGAAGAAGAAAGAAACAATAAAGTTAAATTGCTTGAAAAAGAACTCCTTGCTCTGCAAGAGAAAATGCGAAAACTTGTGGAAGAATCCAATAATAAGAAAAAGGCAAAAAAGAAAATTAAAGAAAAACAGAAAAAGCAAATGACAAGTAGCAGTAGCATTCCCAAAGCAAACACTGTCACAGCATATGGAAATAAAGCTAATAACATTAGCGAAAATTTAGGTATGTGTTTTTGACTATTTATTTAAAAAAGATATGTTAGGAAAATAAAATAAAGAATTTTTAATAATCAATGTCATGTTTTTGCTATATAAGCAAACTAAAATTCTGTTTCCACTAACATGAAATAATATTGAGGTGATAGTGATTATTTTTTAACACATTACTCTCATGGAATTGTTTAACTTAATAAAACCGTCTAAAGAACCATCAAATAGCAGGAGAATAATTTATAATTACACTTGGACATATAGTCCGAGTATAAAATTGGTATATAAGTATCACTTCTAATAGTGCAACAGTTGCGTATGTAAAGTTAAGTTCCAGCCTAAAACTACAAAAAATCAGATGTTAGTGTAATTTTATTAATTTGTTTGTCATCAATTATCATTTGCTCAGCCAGAATCGATATACTGTTTACCGCGCAGGCGACGAACGTAAATGTATATATATGTATATCTTATATTCAATAGCAACGGGCGGTATAGTACGAGGCAAAACGGGTAGTAAACGCGGCGGTGGTAGCGGCGGTGGTGGTGGTGGAGGCGGCATCGGTGCTGGGGCTGCCAGTGGGGGCGGCGTCAAAGCGGGCTCGCGTGGGGCCGCTCCCGCTAAGAAGAAGAGCTCCACCCCCACTGCCGCGCCGGCGCCTCATCAACCTGCGCATCCAGACACGGACGACGAGGACGTCGCGAAGCCAATGTCCTACGACGAAAAGCGACAGCTCTCACTCGACATCAACAAGCTGCCAGGTATTCGTGACACGTTTTTGAGCAATGTTTTAGGAAAACAAACACTGTGTGTTTTTGCATAGGTATCTATAGATGTCGTTTTGTGATCCACATCTCTTTTACCTTAGAGTTTTGGCAATAAACTCTTCCTACTGTTTAAGCATGACAGTATAAGTTGCCATATAAAAAGAGTAGCTCATGCCTTAGTAACAATACACTTTTTTATATAGGTGACAAACTCGGAAAAGTTGTGCATATCATCCAAAGTCGTGAGCCTTCCTTGAGAGACTCAAATCCTGACGAGATTGAGATAGATTTTGAAACTCTGAAACCGTCAACGCTAAGGGAATTAGAAAATTATGTTGCGTCATGCCTACGCAAGAAAACACGTAAGTTAATTAATTTTGGCGTATAAGATTATATCTCTTACTTCATTGTATGTACATTTGCTTGCATTCATTTGCCAACTAAGAAAATTCTATGCTACCCTTAATTTATAAATTATTTATACCTAACTAGCGACCCGCCTCGGCTTCGCACGGGTTCAATGTATTATACATATGAACCTTCCTCATGTATCACTATCTATTAAAAAAACTGCATCAAGATCCGTTGCATAGTTTTAAAGATCTAAGCAATACATTCGGCCACACAGTGGGACGACTTTGTTTTATAGTATGTAGTGATGCACAACAGAGAGACATTTACATTTCAAGTGATATTTTACCACAATCGCTCACTTGTTTTGCCTTCTCAGAACCTAACACTTAAAATTTATGGTATGTAGTATAAAGTTCAAATTGACTTTTAAGTCAATGTTTGGGACTTTTCTACGGGAAAATAGAAAATTGTTGTTTTCAGACTTTTTCTCTCTGTCAGAACCATTCTCGTAGTTCAAGGAATATTATAAAAAAAGAATTAGCGGAATCGGTTCAACTGTTCTCGAGATTTGCACTTAGCAACACATTCAGTGATTCATTTTTACATATAGATTTGTGCCAATTACGCAAACAAAATCGTATTTAAATTTGTACTTAGTTATTACCAAACTATGTACCGCACTAAAACTGTTGATTTAAAAAAATATAAATCATAATTAAAATAACATAATTTTATTTGTAGACATTATATTTATTTTTGTAGATCGAAAAGTTTCGGGTAAATCTAAGGATGAACAAATGGCGGAGAAAAAGCAGGAATTAGAAAAGAGATTGCAAGATGTATCTGGGCAATTAGGATCAAATAAAAAGCAGCAACCGAAAAAGGGTTTGTATTGTTTATTATCTAAATGTTTTTGAGAAACGGTTCTTTTTAGTGTTATGTTTTGTTAATCATTTGCAAAACGTATCGCCGTTTATCAAAGTGGGAAAGCGTCTGCGGGCGAATCCGGAAAAAGTGGATTTGATTCCCGCAGTGGTCAAAAACTTTGGTCCCTTATTCTACAAATTTTAATGTTTCATCTTAAGTGTAGAGGTTAGCACTACAAAAATTTCAATTTGGCTACCACTTGATCTTCCAAACGGGCAGGAGGATCACATGATCGAAAGTGATCACCATCGCCCATGAACATTTGCAACACCTGAGGGTTTGCAAATGCTTGCCGGCCTTTCAGGAATGAATATGCTCTTTTCTTGAAGGTTCCTAGGTCGTAGCGGTTCGAACAGATCGCTGGCGATAGCTGGTTCCATAGAGTAGTTGTGCAATGCAGAAAATTCCTTGAAATGGCGCTACAGGTACGCTGGACAGAGCGATGCGTGTGCACGCAGATGTGCAATTTCTGGTTTTGGAGCGATGTGCGATAGTGAATGAGTGGCTAGGATCAATCTAACCTTGGAACAATTTCCGTGATAAATGTGGTAGAAGATGCAGAGTTATCCAACATTGTACGCGTACCCAAAGGATCACGCCAATCCGCAAGAGCCCGTTCGTCGACAACCCGAGTCGCACTACGTTGAATGCCGTCAAATGGAACTAGCTGGTACTGCATGGCTCCTGCCCAGAGATGAGGACATTACTCCATGTGGGGCCGAATTTGCTTATCGTTTAGGTGTTGAGCCGACTTGGAAGTTGTTCGAATTAAGTATTGCAAAATGAGGAGTTACGACTAATGGTGTGTGACTTTTTAGCTGTAAACGTTAATATTAGCATGGCCAGTTTACAAGACATCCACAGTGCTATTTGAATTACAACAGGCCATGTGGAGCTTACATCGTCGACGATGGCTCCGATCTGGTAGGATGGTAGGTTTGAAATAAGCGATTTGTGCCTTACCTGATCAAAGACTTTCGCTTTGTCTAGACTAGCTACAAGCCACCTCCTTGGTCTCAACTGCTTCTGCCCATCTATGTGTTAGGTAAACTAATCAGCCAGTGATGCTCTAGGTCCCGCAAGAGCTAGCAGTGGAGAACAAGGAGGTGATGGCTATAGGCCTGTAATTGGACGGATCCGAGCGGTTGCCCTTTTTTAGGGATCGGGTGTACTAAAACAGCTTTCCGTGATTTCTAGACTACGCCTAAGTAATAATAATAATAAAATATCTGTATTCACATAGACGCTTGCGCGTTCTTATGAAACGTCGAAATTTTACAAGGAAATTAATATGTTCGTAAGTTACCGCCGGTTCGGAAAGCAGTTTCTGTTGAGAAGAATCCATAAGTTTACTTTTAACTTTTCGTTTAAATTCATCAAGTGGCAGACTTAATATTGACTGTGGGATTTTATTATACATGCGCACACTTTGCCCCATGAACGACCTGTTTACTTTTTGTAGATGAAACAATGGCGTAGTTAGTTTGTCCTTATTTCTAGTATTTAGTTTATGTCTGTAACTATTCTTTAGATAATTATTAATATTATGTTTAACATACAAAATATTACAATAAATATATTGAGACGCAACAGTGAGTATATTAATCTCTTTAAAAAGGTCTCTGAGTGTATTCCGGGCTCCGATGTTATAGATTGCTCGGACAGCTCTTTTTTGAAGAATAAATATAGAATTTATATCAGATGCACTACCCCACAACAAAATGCCGTAAGACAAGATGCTGTGGAAATAACTGAAATAAACAAGTCTGCCTAACCTTCCTGCAAAAACAGCGGAGCTTAACCTGTTCGCAAGAGATGATAGATGGGGACTCCATTGGAGCTTTGAATCCACTGTAAATTTCAAGAATGCAGCTGACTCAACAGGATTAAGGGTTACGCTATTTAATGTTAAGCTAAAACTTTGCCTTCTTACGCTGGGAAGGGTAAAAAGAAGGCATTTAGTTTTTTTTAGCATTTAACACCATATTATTAACGGTAAACCAGTGGAGGATACGCGAAAGTGCACTATTCACGTCGCCATAATTCGACACGTTTCGGTCAACCTTAAAAATGAGCGATGTGTCGTCAGCAAACAGTACAACATCACATAACTCACTGGCATAAAAGGGGAGATCATTTATATACACTAAGAATAACAATGGACCCAAGATTGATCCTTGTGAGACACCCATTTTCATGGAGGACCCTGCGAAATTAACATCATCTATAGATACTTTTTGAATTCTATTACTAGGGTAAGAGGCAATGAGATTGAGGGCGATGATAAAGTATAGGTGTGCCGGAAAAGACCGTCAAAACCCGTGTCAACTCTGGAGCCCATGTCTGCAACACGATAGGAGGGATTCATAAGTCGGATGGGCGACTTATGAAATGTCCAAGGAAAAAAGTGCTTTGCGAAGTGCTCTTGTCCGGCTTACCTTCGCGGCATAGGCCAGCGAGTCATCCTCCGTGTGCAGGGGTGGAAAAGAAGGCTGACAGAAGTTTCCTTGGAAAATCTTGGCGAAAGATCAAATCGCATGTATTCCTGATGGGAGACGCGCCAGTTTCTTTCCAATTCTACGAATGTCCTATAACTTCTGTATCAATAACACTTCACACGAAGGATCTAGAGGCACAATTATACTCCTTTTTTGAAGCGGTCATTTTTACATCACTAGACGCACACGAGTCAACCCTGGCTAGGTAGCATTCCCGCTTTTGACGTACGCCATCTTACACGAGAGACCGAACCAAGGTTGGAATTGGCCACCGATAGGAACTGCAGAGAATGGAATTAATTTACATACCCTAAAATCGTATGCTAATGTGAAATCGAGATCAGATGTCCCCGCATGACTGGTGCTGCGTGATCTAGAACCGCACTGCCAAGTGTGTATTGGGAAAATGGAGTGTGCCAGGACTCACAGACCGAACAAAACGCGACAGCATAGCTTCTACATGACGCCGGTTTACAGTGAGAGAGTGGTACTTCCCCAAGCTTGCGTGCCCATCCGGCTATTTACCCGTAGGTGTGCAGCATGGCACTATCACAAGTTGGATTCACTGATTGCACCAGTGGCAAAATCTCTGTCTGTCGTAAGATTATACCACCAGCGGGTGATGGGCTCATCACGTCCCGACAGCTTAAAAAAAAAAACATTAAAATTTGTAGAAAAAACGCGACTCTGCCGGGTATCGAACACACATCTTGGTAGAAGTGGGGCACAGATATGCCAACAGCATTTATAATAGTTCAGCAACAAATATTTATTTACAAGAAATGGGGGCATATAGAGTTAGTGTATAAAAATTTCTCTTAACTCATAACTCCCATAACAAATGTAAGTAGGAGTTGGCATTGCAATAAATTATCCATGCAGATGTAGAGGTGTATAGATAATTTAAATAGGATATTTTTTTTTGGCAGAGGGCTGCAAGGAGGGATTGGGTGGCGGGATGTCATCATCTTCTAGTTCTTCTGATTCGTCAAACTCCTCATCTAGCACTGATACCAGCTCCTCCGATAGCAGTGACAGTGAAGCAGGTTAGATTTTATAGCGGCATTGTCTGGAGTCTTTCACTGAATATTTGGTTTCTTAGTAAACATAAATAAGCACTGATGGGTACCGGTATGTACCATAGGATTTAAATTTTAATTTTAGTGTTAGATTATATTATTACCTGCATTTAATTAAGACAAATCAAATTACAAGTTTTACATCAAAATGTAATAGTATAGAAGAGTAAGTCTAGAAAATTCTGCCATTAAGTATTAACAGTTATACCTAACTTGTTTGTTATGCGTGGTGAAAGTAGTTAAAATAATGATTTGTATATAAGGTAAAGACCCAAAATACATAGTGGTACAAATATGATACGAATTGATATCACATCTCACAGGTAGTGTGTGTGTGTGTTAATATAATTGTATATTATGTGTTTTTAAAATCCAAATTTAGGTTTGGACAAAAATTTAACTTCAGCTTCTTAAATACTCAGTTCAATGTGTATTTAAAGATATCCAAAATTAAATGTGAATTCTTACATTGCTGTTTCATAACAGGTTGCTTTTTATGCCTTTTTTATATGCACTTTACAAAAAACAATCTAAAATCAAGTCACAACTTTATCATTAATGTGTTTTAAAACACCCACCAAATAATATTTTCATAACTTTTGAATATACCATATAACAATTTAAACATTATTTCTTTTTTTTAAGCGCTATTCGTATCTCCTTTCATTTCTTCTCTTTTATATTATACTCATTTCTAGTAGTATTCTCCTGTTTCTAATTTTTTTTTTGAAAATCATTTGATGATATTCATTTAAATTATTGTGAGAAAAAAATGTACATATTTTGTGCCAAGTTTTTGTGCAGATTTTCATTATAATTGCTCTTCTATACTCATTATATTTTGGTGTATTTTAAGAATATATTGAAAGGCTTGAGATCTATAAATATGCTTAGATTATTTTAATTTTTTCATAAACATAAATAATGAAATACACAAGGTTTTTAAGCTTTGCCAGTATTTTTATAGTATGACTGATTATTGTTCTTTTCTGTTTCATACTGTTTTAACCCCTTAAATAATGTTATTCTAGTCTGAAATGTCAGTGACAGAATGAATGACAAATCCAATCCATGGATATTGTCTTGGTATCTGATTAAGTTACAGAATGTTAGCACCTAGATGAACTCGAAGTCGTTAATAAATAGGGATTGACTTGCTTTTATTTAGATATTTTGTTCTGAGAGTGGATAACTTATATTTTTTGTATGTTTTATTTATTGAAGACCTCAAGTTAAAAATATCCTATTATTTATAAATTCAACATATTTTATTTATTTTGGGCGATTCTTATTCTGAGCTTACTCATACAGTGTGAGTCAGGCCAATATAATATTTGCATCATAATGTGTGATGGTTCTGGAGTGAATGTTGGTTTTTACTATCTGAGAGTTGCGCATGTAAAAACGTTTTACGTCAATGACGAAATGTCAAATTTGAACAAAAATTATTTGTTTTGTGTCCTTGTGTCATGTGTACTAGTTCGAATGTGCGTAATGTGGTTTTAAAGTACTGAGTTATGATTTTTCATTACTGTGATATTGAAAAAGTGGATACCACATATTAGCTTCGATTACAATTTTGTTTGAGATATGAGTAATGGCACAAAACAATTGATAAATGGTAAGGAGGAGAAGCCAGCTTTGGTGTCCCGCAGATTCAATGTAACTGGTGCCGGTAAGGAATAACTATTGTTTGGTTTGCTTTCATAAACCAATAGGAAATACCTTTTCACATTAATATTTTTAACTATATCATGTCCTCAAAAACGGTGATATTTCATTTGCATCCTTTAAATTTCAATACTTTACAAATTTCTATTGGAAACTTCAGATCTCACGGTACTAATTAATTGCTTTTGAGTGTGAAATTTGATGAGACATATTGTTAGATTGGACTCTGTGGAGAGTTAGAAGGACGTATTAGTGTTTTGTCGCGGGCGAAGAGGATCCACGTCGTCGCGCCGACCGGCCACGTAAATGCAAACAATTGTGTAAGGACGGATACCAACTTGGCAAGCAAATATCTTCAGCCTCTTGTTGCACCCTGCCATTTCTCTGCCATGAGGATGTAATTTTTGTGACATGTTGTAGTTAAAAATTTTAACTTAATTGAAAAGGTATGGTTTATTGGTTTAATGCTTAATACATTGATGATTGCTCCTAAACACTTCATGTGACATGTAACCAAAATTGTTTATGATGACCAAATACCTAAAGCTGGCCTCCTTCCTTCACAAATTGTTTGCAAAACTACTAAATCTAATATTATAATGATATACAATCATTATGTGACATGAATTTCAGTGTCTCATTGAAAAATGTGGCCCACTAGTTTTCTACAAATATATGAAGCAACACAGTTAATGTTTGTATATTGGCAGCTGGATTACTGTATTGTAGCAATTATGTATAATCTAATTCTTCGTTTATCCATAAGAAGGAGGGAGGAGAATGGTGCAATATTTTTTTTAAGCAACAGGCAGGTGCTTCACACCAAACTTTCATTGTATTCACAGTATTGAAAGAATTTGAAAAAATATCAAATTTTAAATGAAATAAATATTATATTTAATTCTACAAGGTATCAAACTTCAATGCAATTTTATAAATTGCTTGCTGTTTTACACTCTTGTATTCAATTCAATTATTTGCCTAGAATTTTCTTTAAATTTATAAATGATAAAACTTGTTACAAGTATCTACTAATGATATACACACACAAGCAGGATAAATCAATATTAAAATAATGAATTGAATTTCAAATTCTTCATTTATACAAAGACTTAAATAAATTCAATTAATAGAGGCACTGTTATACAAAATCATTAAATCATTGAAAGTATGTGCAAATTGATAGTTATATTAATATATTCTCTTCCATCCATCTCAAGGGTAACATGGAATTATTGTAACTATATATAAGCTCCTATGTTCTAGGATATTTTCTGTTTTTTTTAACATCACATTTATTGTAGTACATTACTGTTGCAGTTTTAGATATGTGTTTGTGATTATATACCCATTTATTACAGCTTAATCAGGCTTTCTGTACTTATATTAAGTTAATTACTCATTGATTTGTTACAATGTGTATCTCTAATTTCTGGTCAACAGTATCCAATGTTTACTTACAATGTGTATATCTGTATAGTTGAATTAACCACAAAACTGTCAGTGGAATATAATAAATTAAAAACAAAATAAATTATTCTTAAATAATGCTTATTAAAACTTTGTAAACTTGAGTTTGTTACAATTGTGGATGTTATATACATACTTATTATTTTGAGAGAAAAATTTTGCTTATAAGTTACAATCACATGTTGCAAGGTATGTGACTTATAAAATTACAATTGTGTATTGTGTGTACAATATTGTAATTTTTAACTTCCTATTTAGAAACATTTATGATACGAATTTATTTTATATGATATACGTAATATCATGCATCATGTGAATTTATCAACGTCAGTATTTTAAAATAACGACATCAGTATTTTAAAATAAGTTATTGGTCCATTGAACGAACTCAACTGACAATTGTACATTCCTGATGATATCTGAAATTTAGAATAATATAAAGGAGGAAATTAACATACACTATAAAAGTTTCCCCAAGTACAATTCAATTGTTCTAAAGCTTTATTGTAAGTTAGATATATAGTTCATTCACGTGGGCAAAACCGATTGAAACAAAATATATTGAACATGTTTTTGTAAACTGAGCAAAGAAAAGTTGTTATTCATTAATAAATTGTAGGAGTACAAGAGGCATCAACATCTCAGGCTATGATGCAATAAATATTTGTATACATTAAAGCAAATTATAAGGCAATAGTATTTGTGTATTTATATAACAGATGTTATTTAATGCATAAATTATATATATATTAGGATAAGATTATCACTGCAGCATACAACAGTACTTTTCCAAGTTCTTCGAAAGACTATAACAATATGATGATTTGGTAGTGTCTAAGATTCGGTCGGTTGTGTCCCACTGCCGATTTATTTAGGTATTTCTTATTTCTTGCTATAAGAAAAAAATAGAACAAATGAGTCCGTTGTTACTCTAGTAAAATTCGCAAATAATTAAATGAATGGAGATTACAAATAGCAAGTCTACATATACTTGCGATTTAATATTTTGCTTATAAATGACATGTATAGATGTTTTATTGAGTTTAAAGTTTGTTAAGAGAGTAATGATTGGAATTTTCAATTAATTACTTTCATTGAATATTTGTTATATTTATGTATTGAAAATGTAAACAGGAACACCATGTAATAAATTTTGTGTAAGTTTTATTTAATCATCCCTCATGACTTAAAATTAATAGTCCATAAGATTGAGTGGGAATAAACCTTGTATATATTTCAATATATAACAAATTAAGTAAAAGTTTTAAGTAACCTATTTTGATTTTTTTTTATGGCCCTGAGATCTGAAGTTTTATGAAGTGTTTTAAAATATTTTTATGGAGTCACAAGTTACATTGATTCATTACTTTTGTTTTCTGTCTACTTCAACTTTATGAAATATTAGGTATTTTAGTACAATATTTTTTTCCTTCTTTATGCCGCCTTCAAAGATATATAATTAATAAAGGCAATTATAATTAATACAAAAGCATGGTGTGTCTATTCTAGGTCAAGTTTTTGAAAATAAAAATGATAAGTATATTAAAGAAAAAAAAGCACAGAATAATCAAGAGTGTATTTTACGACTTGCAAGTAATATTGGTATGTATACGGTAATTTTTATAGTTAGGTTAGTTTTTTTATAAATATTTAATTTCAATTCTAAATAAAAATTGCAGGTGCTAGTTCGGGTAAACCTTCTAAAAAAAAGATGAAGAAACAAACACATCCGCTACCGTCGCAAACGGTAAGTACATTTTTACCCTTTTAATCTGTTTATACTATCTATATAAGGAGGCTTTTGTAAGTGTATCCATTTTTTAAAATTAAATTCTCGACATAAATAATGTTATACAAAAATGATAAATATTTAAAATCACTCTTAATTAAATACATTCATTTTAACTTATCTCAAAAAGTGTGTGATTTAGGGGCAACTCATTTATTTTACGCGCAATCATTCATCACTAATACGCGTACAGGTTCGTTTCAAATATATACGATTCATTTATGAATGACTATCGCATTGTTAACAAGTTCTGTTTTTAGGGAATAGAATGGCAATTTTTAAAAAAAAAACTTTATTTTTATTTCAATAAACGATTATACTACCAAGTCTGAACCTCCTGTGTAAATTTGTGCACCTTTAGAAAACCCACCCTGTATTTCTTTGTTACATGCACATTACGACGCACATTTAGCCACCCGATGGGCGTAAGGTGTAGTGCACTTGCCTTTTGCGCTAGAGGCTGTGGTATCAAATCCCCACTACTGGAAAAATATTGTGTGATGAATACATAGTGTTTTCCAGTCTCTGGGTGTTTATATATGTATTTATTGACAAAAGAAAGTATGTCTCAGTTTTCTAGCATTAATAGTACAAGCGTTGCATAGTTTAGGACTAGAGAACGTTGTGTAAAAATGTGTCAGAAAATATTTATTTATAAAGCATTTTTCTCCCCATTTAATTTTTTATAGTATAGCGAAAGTACGGTGGAAATTAAAGTAGTGTGAGTGAAAAATTGATAGTGAACGATTACTTATTGCAGAAGACGACGCCGCCGGTTGTCGTGCCCGTGGCGGTGGCGCCGGTGGTTAGCGAAGAGCCGCCGCCGACCGCGGACGTGAAGAGCGACGCGCCCGAGCCCGCCGCGTCGCCCGTGGTGGAGACGCCGGCCGCCGCGCCCCCCACCACCGCCACCGCCACCGCCGCGCCCGCCACGCTCGCCGCGCACACGGCCCACAACGCCCACACCGCCCACTCCGCCCACAGCACCGCCCACCCCGTGCACGTCGCCCCGCCGCCCGACTCCTCCAACGCGCCCGCGCCCCCTGAAGTGCATGAACAGAAGCCCGTTGTCAAAACCGAGCCCCGCAACGGCCTCGACAAATTGGACACCTCGCACTACATAGACCCCATCGAACGATCCCTAGCGAGCCTCGAACGCAGCCTCAAGGCGGATGTGCCGATGGACGTTAATGTCAGCGTAGCCGAACCGACGATGCGGATGGAAGACTTCCCCATGCCAAAAGCACCAGTCATGCCTGACGCGTCCCATCACAACCTTATGGCGCAGCTCGGTGGCCTCTCTGAGATGACGCACGTCCCTGATCAAATTAAGACAGAGATGTACGTCCCACCGCATAACGGGTTTGTCGATAAAAACCCACAGCACGAGCGGGATGTGCTCCGGACGGAGATGAACCCCAATTTGTCCAGTATCACTAGCGCACCTCCAGTGTCCTCCATCTTTGACCCCACTTACTCGACCCCACATTCGGTGAACGCGCAATCGCACCTCACTACAGCTGCCGCACCAAGCCTCATGACACCTGCTATTAAGAAGGAAGAAACCAAACCGTTGCTTACTCCGAAGCCCATCGAAGATCTTATGGGAGTGCCGAATATGGGAACAAACAATATTTCGGAAAGAACGAAATATGAAATGGATAAAAAGATGGAAGATGCCAAAAACACTAATTTTGCTCAACCCTTCAAGCTAAAACAAGAACAAAACCTGAAGAATGCTAGCTCTTGGTCCTCCCTGGCACAGGCTGGTAGTCCACAGAGTATACCGAACATTGGTACAAACAATCAAATAAAACCAAAACCGGTAATGGATAGTTGTTTTCAAGTGAGTAATAGTTCAATTCATTCAATAAATGAATTATGATAATTTTATTCGATTTTATTGTTCTCCATTATTATTCGCTTACAGGCTTTCAAAAAACAAGCTCGAGAAAAGATAGACCGGCAAAGAGCTCTCATAGAGCAACAAGAATTGAGAAAAAAGGAACAGGCTGAAAGAGAAAGACAGAGGCAAGAAACAGAGAGGCGACATCCAGAGGAAGAAAAATTGAGGTAATTATTTTAATTTTGGTAAGACCTTTTCGCGGTCGGCATACTTATGCGGCGTCTGCGTGGTACGCCGTTATTTCAAACCATCGAAGGCATCCGACTACATGTTCACAAGAATCTCGCTCTAAGAACACGCGGGAGCGCATGTTCGATCGCGCATAACGGAACACCACCCCCTCCATAGATTTGCCCTTTGCATGTGCGTCCTCCAGATGGAGTAGAATGTTGCTACTTTACAACAAAAAATATTGCTAGTTCATTATTGCGCTTTTTGTGGAAGAGAGACTCATGCTAACACGTTTGTTAGGGCGTTTTCGACCATCATATATGATGAGGTAACTAACACTCTCAGAGGCGATATTTGGCCACATTTCCCGGGGGGATGTTGCGCAACGTGAGACAATTGCCCAGTTTCAATTCCCCATCACCCGTACCTGCGCTTGCCCGACTGTTAGGGAAGTGTGGATGACACGTGTGTGTGTGTGCACATCTCATCACAAAGTAAAACGTTTTTAAAGTTGACATAGACATTACTGTAATTAGTGACCACACCATACTCGTTTCGTAGTGTTTCCCGATTGCTAATGGTCGATGGATGTGATCCATGGCGTAGGGTGGCGCCGAGCGCGCGTAAAACGGAGGCGGCCGAGGTGTCGTCGCCGAGCGTGTCGCCGGTGGCGCGCGCGTCGCCGCCCGCCGCGGCCGCCGCCGCCGCCGCCGCCGCCGCCGCCGCCGCGCCGCCGCCGCCGCCGCCGCCGCCGCCGCCGCCACCGCCGCGCCCGACAAGCCGGCGGCCAGCGAGCGCGAGCGGCTGCGCCAGCGCGAGCAGGAGCGGCGGCGCCGCGAAGCGGTAAGTCGAGAACAACTTTTGATCGGTTTAGTGCTTATTTGAGTGAAATACAGTGATCCATCCCTGTAACGCGGTACCCTTATATCGCGTTTTCTTATTACGCGATTTCAATCCCCCGTATAACAAGGGCATTCCCACATATAAACAGTGGACTGGCATCGTCTTGAGGTCAAACTCAAGGCCTTGGACCCCCAGGACTTAGTCGACCTACCCGAGACGATAGCTACGTTCGATGACGCACATCGAGCGATAGCAAGTCTCCGAGAAACCATCACTTTCACAGTCGCAGACTCGGAACGGACGGTTAAACTGTCGGGCGACCGACGGTTCAACTTTCCGCCCGACCTGCGACTGCTAATTAGGCAGAAAAATGCAGCCAAACGCGCTTTCGACCGATACCGATCGGAATCGAACCGAACCCTACTTCGACGCCTTCAGCTAGAAGTCAAAGATCGTGTATCGGAACACCGACATACAACGTGGGATACTCTCCTAGAGGACATCGAGCCATCGCACACCGCCTACTGGCGGTTGGCCCGCAGTCTGAAAGCAGACCCCCGCGAATCTCTACCGCCGTTAGTTAGACCTAATAGCGCTTCAGTAGCCCTAGATGACTCCAAAAAAGCCGAATGCCTTCTCAGTTGCCTGGGGAAGCTCCACGAGCGGCTTTTATTAAACAGGCTCAATGAGCACGTGTTTTCCAACGGCCTTCTGCCGGTGGAAAAATTCGGCTTTCGAGCTAGACATTCCTGTCCCGATCAACTATTCCGCCTAACGGAACATATCCTAAAAGGCCTCAATCACCCTAAACATATCAGTACAGGGGCTCTTTTCTTCGATGTCGCAAAAGCATTCGACAAGGTCTGGCACAACGGCTTGCTGTACAAGCTGTACACACTCAAAGTGCCAGATAGGCTCGTACACCCTATCCGGGCCTTCCTGTCGAACCGCTCTTTTCGATATCGAGTTAAAAGCACCCTCTCCACAAGCCGCCGCCTCACGGCCGGCGTACCACAAGGCTCCTGCCTCTCACCTTTGCTCTTTACGCTCTACACGAGCGATATACCTAAAGACCCCACGTCAATCTGGCGCTTTTCGCGGATGACACGGCGCTCTTTTATTCAGACCGCAACCTTAGACAACGAACCACTCGACTCCAAAGCGCTGCCGACCGCCTCGGCGATTGGTTCCGCAAATGGAGATTCTATTCTCCCGAAATAAATCAAAAATAAATCCCGAAAAGAGTGTGGCGATTCACTTCACACGAAGTACTTACCCGTCACATCTTTATAATGTCCCTCGTCAATGCAGAAAGTTGGGGCAAATATCCCTTTATGGCCAACCGCTCCCCTGGGAGAAAAAGGTCAAATACTTAGGAGTCACTTTCGACTCGCGTATGTCATTTACTACGCACATTAATAATGTTCGCAATAGAGCCGCGTTCGTCTCCGGCCGGCTACACAATTTAACTAACGCTAAAAGTAAAATGCCCTTAAGGCACAAATTATTATTATATAAGACCTGCGTACGACCTATTATGTCTTACGCATGCATGACCTTCGCCCACACGCACCCTACTCGCTTGTACAAGTTGCAAATAGTACAAAACAAGTTCATCCGCCGCGCAACCGGTGCGCAGTGGTATCAACGCAACGTCGACCTGCACAGCGATTGCAGACTCCCGACGATTCGCGAATATTTCAAAGACCTGACCAAACGGTTCTTCGATAGAGCCGAACATCATACCAACCCTCTGGTGGTAAGCGCAGCAAATTACCAACCCGACACAAACGCGAACGTCAACAAGCGTCGCCCGCGAAACGTCCTCATCGACCCGGTCGAGGAAGGGGACTTAGACACGCCGGACCCACCGCCAGAGGTCCCGCCGGACAACACTACACCCACAGTTAGTGCAACAACAAACACACTAGTTCGCCCTCGCCTCCGAGCACGGCGAGACCAACACAACGCGTACACAAGGTACACCCGCGTTCCGGGGCCGTTCTCACCGCCCCCAGCCACCGATTAGCTAATTGCACAGTCGACGGCCATCGGGGTTTCGGTCCGAACCACGACCTCGATGGCCCTTAGATTACCCTTACACACCATAGTTAAAAGCATGCATGATCACATGCGTGGCCCTACCCACAGCGGAGGGCCCAAACCCGTGGGTTCTGGCTAGCCCACCGGTTCTGCGTCAGATGAAGCTTTAATAGTCTCGGGACTGAAAGCAAAAACATCAGTTAATACAAGACATATAAACACGGATTTCCCATATACATATTTCTGTACTGTGAAATTTATGATGAATGATGAAATAAATTATAAAAACTATGAACCCTACAAGTTCATAGTTTTTATAATTTAAACCCCCTGGAACGAGGAAAGTTAAATGTGATAAATCATTTAGACATAACCCGTTATACGAGGTCGTAAAAATGCGTTATATGGGAATGCGTTGGCGTCTTCAAGGCAAGACTGAATAGGTTTCTACTAAGCTAGCGCGCTTACCATCAACGGCTGCTTCGCCACTTACCATCAGGTGGGATGGCAGTCAAGTGCTAGCCAGTTTTTGAATTAAAAAAAAAAGAATAACCCGGAACCAAGCTATCGCGTTACAGGGGCGATTACTGTATTTTAAATAGTACTTATTCGTTTATTATTATATTATATGAAATTTATAAATATATAAATCATTTAAATAATTTTACATTATAAATAATATAATAATAAGTAACATACAAATAAGTAGGTAGGTATGCGATTTTGCAAGTCTGTTTGCTCACAACTCTTGATTTAAACTATTACCAGGCTTTTAAAAGTAAAATTTCACTAACACGTGAATTTTACAGCAGTAACAAAAAGAAATTGATAGAGCTATTGTTCCTTATTTTTGGTTTGAACTTAAATTCCAAGATTTTGACTTAATTCCTTGCAAATAATTAAACATGCAGTCATAGATACTATTAGTATTTCCCTTTTTTTATACTTAATACTTACATAAAGTTTCATTTGACTTATGTAAGTATTTGACTTTATTTAAAGACTTGTTTTATAGTCTGTGGTTGTTTGTGACAGTGTATTTCACTAAGTGGTCATTACCTGTCAATAAAGTATGACATTACTGTTACTGTAGTATTCCAATATAAAACAGTAATTCATAGGTGTGAGTTTTGAAAAAAAAAACAACATATGGACAATGTTTAAGATTGTTAACCAGTGCATTAAGTTTACGTCAATAAAATCTAAAAATTTTGCTATATCCATCAGAGGGTCAAAAGCAAGTAGGCTATACTGAGTTAGGTGCGTAATTACTTAAATAATTAATCTTTACAATTCCAAACAGGCCAGTAATTAATTTAAATTGGTTTTTATAAGTATAATATTTTGGAAATACAATAAAAAATTTTATTCTTTGTCATATTATGTTTAATATGATGTATTTTATTTCAGATGGCTGGGCAGATTGATATGAACATGCAAAGTGACCTAATGGCTGCATTTGAGGAGTCCCTGTAAAGTGTTTTGTGAACAATATTTTAATTGTAAATACAGTATATAAGTAAATATAATGTCAATGCAATCGATGAAATATTGGTGACAGTCTGACACCGGAGTGATTTGTGATTGTCTTATGTGTGAAATTGTTGACTAACATGTGGTTAAGTGCTGTGAATAGATATACTTATTTTAAATTAAACTGTTGTACCATCAAACTAGACTTCACGGTTTGCATGATGCAAACCCTGGTAAGAGGGTTGCATTTTAAATAATGTGTAATATATAAGTTTGTATGCAAGTTCTTTATGTAACTCTCTTTACATTTGTAAGCCTATATTTATATTTTGTTCTAGGAGCGTCTTCTACCTTCCATATTTGTTTTATAGTATGTACTAAATATAGAATTGTAGAAATTTAAATTGATAAAAAAATCAAAAATGTTTTATTTTATGTAACTGATAAATAGATAATCAACTTAACCATGAAATCTGTTAATTATCATGCATATTTGCATTGCATGGCGGTATATAAAGATTAATATGTTAGTAAGCAACCATAGATTTGGAAAAACTGTATTGGTCCTTTTATGCCAAAATGCAATGGGATTAAAGCATGTGTTATGTATTTAATAGTAAAATAAATTTCTGTTACGTGTTCGATTTTCGATAAATATTGCTTAATGTTAGTAGATTTTTTATCAGTCTGTCATCGTAAAACAGATCAAATGTCATACATTTGATTTGAAATATATTTATTTTACATTGGAATATGTCTTTTTTATGTTTGTAGTTAGACTCCAGTGGAAATTGTAAAAAGTATTATAAAATTCAGCATGCTCATAAGCTTATGGTATGGATGCAATACTGACCCACAAACAAATATTGTATATTTTTAAGCAAATTTTGTTTGCAGTCCTTTATCCAAACTTTAAATCAAATGTAGATATAAAGTAAAATATATTGACATTCCATATAGTGAACTGTTGTTTAAATTGATGTATATGTATGTAAATATGTCGTTCAGTACTAAACCCAGGCAGGAGATTAATTTAGAAGTTGAAATTAATACTACATTAGAAAATTTCCTTTCCTTTATTTAGATGTACCAAAAATTATAGCAGTAACCTTATTTTTAGGTGTTTAGACAAAAATTAAAATTTGCATTAGGGTATAATATTTTTTAATGCCACAAAACTATTGCCTGAAAGTGTGCATATTAAAATCATTAGGTTTTTATTTACTGAATTAATGAACAAATTTTTAACAATAATATTATACTGTATATCTCGGCCCGACAGGACCCATGCTCGCCTTTTCTTGCGTATTTTGTGAACTAGCAAACTATTGTCTGTGTAGAAAATTAAAAATGACATGTTCCACATATATTAAATATCTATGAAATGTCGCATAGTTGGGAGAAAGTTCCATCTTAATTGTCCTCGATGTAGGATACAATTGACGCATTATTTAGATTTTGATTCATATTACGGAAAACATCACAGTCGTATATATATTTTGTTACCGAAACGTAATAGTTTACAAACTATACAATATAGATACTTATGCTATTGCAGGCACTTAAAACTATATACACTGTGAAAAATGTGTACATGTATATAATATGCATTTTCCGTATTGTACAACATGTACTTACATTTGAAAACGAAGAGTATTAACAATTCACTTTTTTAAATAAACTTTTATTTGGCTGAGTATTTTTTTCGTGAGAATTCCACAACCTCATTTTGTAGTAAACCTAACAAGGCAAAAAAAGCCTTGAATATCAAGTTGTTCTGATAAAAACGAAAATCATATCAAATTAAAGGCCACTTCTCATAAAGTTAAAACAAACTAGACTTGAACACGGAATAAAGGTTTGATCCATTTATCTTACTTATAAAACGTAACTAAATATCAATATTACCTTGTCATATTTGTGATATTTTTAACCAAGGTACAAGATAAAAACTGATTTTCCTTTTTTTTTGAGCGGGAAAATTGTATTTTAGCGGAATAAATAGTATGTCTTTATCTCACCCATGTGGGATCGAGACACAGGTGAAGCATGTGCCTCGATCCGATATAAATGATATTGGCTAGTTCTTTTTACGATCGGCCACCTACCGGCGAAGTCAACCCTTGTCCCCGGCGCGGAAAGGCAATTGCTTATCAATTGCACAATCGTATGCTGCTCCGTCTACGCCTATGACATGTAAATAAATAATTTAACCACTAGTTGTAAGCTGTTTCTTACGGCATATTTTCGTTTTTAACATGTGCGTTTATAACATGTGTGTGTGTGTGTAAAGTGCTTAGGGATCTCGTTTTCATTTTTATTTCTTGTTTGACGAATTTCAAAGTATTCTCGGTATCGATTTTTTTTTGTTAATAATGAGGGTATTTTTCTGAATAGTCATCTTATGACGTGTTGAAGTGAATTTAAAAGGCAGAAAAAGCATTGAAGCTTGGGAAACCGCGGAAGAAAACGTGAAAGGGATGGAGTAATTTGTGCTAAAATGAAAAATCCATTCAAATACTTCATGACTTTGACTTCTCGTTTTGTATGAAATAAGCTGAAGTATCTTTTTTTTTTCAGACTTTTTTATTTTTCTAAACCAAAGTATTCAGTAATCACTCATCAATTCATAATTATTGACCAGTGTCCGGACGACCACAAGATTCATTTTTTCAAGTCAAACTGAACTGGGCAAACGGGTTGTGCCTTCGTTTGTAAAGTTCTCTCCGTAAACATTGTTGATGTTACGTGCCGTTTGTGCCGCGTTGGTGTCACGACGGAATTCATACGTGGGGCGCACTAAAAGTTTCCGGAATGAATAAGAAAAAAAATATTATTAAAGATCAAAAATGAATTTATCGTTTCTCAAAACATTCTCCCTTTGCCTAAATGCACTTTATCATACGATTAAACCAATTTTGAAAACTTGTGCCGCTACTCCGTGGTAACCTGATAAACATGTTTAAAACGTTATCGACAGCCGCTTCTGGTGAAAATCGTTGACCGCGTAATTGGTTCTTAATTTTTGGGAACAGAAAAAGTCACAAGGTGCCAGGTCGGGACTGAATGCAAGAGGGCCCCTGTTGCCGGAAGTTCTAAGTTTTTCACCTTCAGAAAATTCGTTTGTCTGTCTGGCTGTGTAGGAACTAGAATTGTCGTGGTGCAAGATGATACGGCTTTTACGGTTATTTTTACGCAGTTTAATAACTTCCGGCAACAATCACATCAAAAAAATGATCGCGTACTAGTTACTATGCACGGTACAACTTTCTCTAAAACAACAGTCCAGTTTTATTTTAAAAAAAGTAAAGTAACAGCCTATACATGTCCTACAACTGGGCAAAGGCCTCATCTATAGAGAGGGTATCAGGGCATAGTCCACCACGCGGCCCCACTGCGGATTGGCGGACTTCACATATCTTCGAAATACATTTTTTTTGTTATTATTTCAAAAATATGCAGGTTTCCTCACGATGTTTTCCTTCATCGTGGAGCACGTGATAAGTCAGCACTTAAAGTTAAGGTGCTGGCACCGGGGATCGAACTCAGGTTGCTCGAGTACATTGAATTAAAGGCGAGCGCCCGGACACTGAGCGATCACGGCTCTATTTTAAAAAAATAAGAAGCAATCATACACTAAAATCCACTTTTCAAGCGCGCTGCTTTGGTTGGTCTCTGCTCATCTTGAAAGAACCGTACACTCGATTACTGCTTAGTTTTGGGATAGTAGCAAAACCATGTTTCGTCACCTGTTACTATGTCTCATACAAAATATGACGCCCCTTCGTTGAATTTGGTAAGCAAGGCATTATATCAAAGTGACGCGGTCCGTTTTAGGCCTCGGTCAAATTGTCTGGGATCCACCGCGAGCATACCTTTCTCACACCCGAATGTTTGTGTAGGATTGATTGTATTTGATTCATGCATATGTCTAAAGATGCCAGAATCTCATGGTAGGTCACATGCCTGTGTGTTTTGAACATATGGCTCATAACTAGATGTTATTGTTGTTCATAGCGGTGGAAGGGCGACCATCGCGAGATTCGTCACCGAGACGACCACAATTTAATTCCACAAACCAGCTATAAATAATCTCCAAAAGCAGATTGAAGCGGAGCGCTGCTCTGCTGAATTACACTTAAAATAGTGGAACTAGTTTTCCCGAGTTCAATTTTCAAATGCTGTAATTACTTTTTAAATATTGATTACCGGAAACTTTTAGTGTTACCTATGTATTCCATAACTACACGAATTTTTAAAGTATCCATTATAATGAAAAATATTAAAATGTATTGAAAATACAAAGATAATCAATAAACAAAAGAATATTCATGTTTTTAAAATATAATTAATTTGAATTTTGAATTCACAGAATTAAAACTTTTTTGTTTGAAATGGCAAGTACTGAAGAACGGCAATTTCGTAGGTAAAGACCTATTACGGTATTAATAATAGTGAGCGGCTGGATAGTAAGAAGACTAACGCTCGGTTTCTGAAATGAATGTTGTTGAAAAATACATAAAATTTGTTTCTGAAAAATGATAACATCGTACATACGATGATCAGTGTTTCAGACACCGGGCGTCGACGGCGGCCGACTTTACCATACTCCAAAAAGTTGACCTCAGCTTATCGAGCTGCCCGACTGTTTTTAAAAAGAATACGAGAACTGGACGAACAAGTATTGCAGATCTGTTCTCTTCTCAGATGAAAGCAGTGTCGTCATGACAGTGATAGTCTACGGTAGACCACAAGTGATTCGCCGCGCTCGAAAACGCTGCAGAGAAAAACAATGTCGATTCTTACGGGCATGGCAAAAAGGCAGTAATAACAAGCGTGCACGATTGAGACGTAGTGTTTTTCTCTTATCGCTGTCTCAGTCTTCTACCGTGGAATTTAACGTTACTCATGTTATGGGCTACTGGTGCAGTTACGTTCCCGTTTTCGTTCTGGGCCGCGGCTGCTTTCGTTGGTTCATCAGACAGTGGACATGATTTGTTTAGCTAAAAGTTAATAATTTTTTATAAGTAACAGATGCCAAGTGACCTTTGCCATTTGGGGAAGGATTGTATGTAGTGACATGATAGCTCGCACGGCAGCGTAACATCTCCCAATAATTATAGATTATGAAATATGCCGTATTTCTATTCAATTATTACGGTGTTGACGTGTAAAATGGCAAATCTTCACATTATCACAACGAAACACCCCCTTCGGGGCACGACGCATAGAATTTAGAATGAAATGAATTCCATAATTAGCTTCCAGATCTCGAGGAAATGGCCAAATTTATGGCGACCAAGAATAAGTTTAATTTTACCTTCTTATTATAGATCTTGAACTGTACAATACCGAGGTAATTAAAGAATATTGATTATTACAGAATAGTGTTTATAAAAAACATTTTTAACACTGGATGAATTTAAAAAATACTTAACATGACATTATGTTTTTTATTAATTAAATAACAATAAAGGTCCTAAAATAAAACGAGTGACTTTGGAATAATAATATATCACATTCCTTGAACTTACTGTACAACTAAATTAGACTACAGACAAGCACTTAATATATTATTACATTAATATGTATAATTAAATAAATTCATGTGTTGCCACACTACGGGGCGTTGGAGTCCCACTCGATGAGGTAGGCGGGCGGAGCGTTGGCTGCGTGACGGCGAGCCAGTATGTGGAAGGTTTGACCGGCGCGGAAGTACGACTGAACGCTCGACTTTAACGCTGACAACTGCTTCGCGTCTGCCTCTGCCGCCACGCTATTAGCTTTGTGCGGGCTCAGCTGCAAACTCTTTACGCTGTTGTTGTTATTTGCATTGCTGTTCGTGTTTCGTCTCGCGTTCTCGTAGTAGTTTTTCTCTTGTCGCTGTCTCAGTCTTCTACCGTGGAATTTAACGTTACTCATGTTATGGGCTACTGGTGCAGTTACGTTCCCGTTTTCGTTCTGGGCCGCGGCTGCTTTCGTTGGTTCATCAGGCAGTGGACATGATTTGTTTAGCTAAAAGTTAATAATTTTTTATAAGTAACAGATGCCAAGTGACCTTTGCCTTTTGGCGAAGGAATTTGTTTCCTAGTCGGTTTCGGACTGATTCAAAGGTTGTTAGGAATAAAATTAGAAATAATTAATAATCTTTTAAACTTTGAGCTATGTTTATATATAATACTGGATCATAATAACTAAGTGTTAAATGATACAAAACTGTTTTATCAATAGTATAATAAACAAAAGGAAGATATAAATTGCTACACATGTAACATTGATAGTTACCTGCATTTGCAAGTATTTCCTAGGTCGCCTGTATTTTCTTCTTTTAACCTCCCCATTTGGTCCTATCACAATATCCTTTTCACTAAGTTTCCGTTTCATGGGTCTAATCATTGGGCCCACAAATGGATTTAACTGACCAGGTAATGAAAATCGTGAGTGAAAATGATGCTGCTTTCCATTCTGTCTATTGCATAAATTCATAGCCGATGAGTACATGGGTTTTGATGTATATTTGTTCTGCATTAAAAACGGATTGTTTTTACCCTGAAAATCTTTTAGCGGTGGTATAATAACATCTAGCGTGCCCCTACTTGAGGTTTCATCCCCTGACGACTCTAAGTCGTGAGCGAAACTGCTATTGTAAGGTGGGGCACTATCCATGTGTTGGAGTGACATTATTTTGGAATGTTCTATAATGTTTTTGGTGGATAGTTTCGAAATTTCCAGATTCATCGTCGCTATTCTAGTAGTGTGACTGTTAATGTTAATGCTACTAGTGCTTGTTTTGCTTACATTCACATCTTCTATATTGTCTTTGGGTATTTTGTCTAATTTAACAGAACAAGGGAGTAGGGGCACGCTGTGCGATGGCACTGAGGTCTTTTCGCAGCTTGATTTAGCTTCGTTAGATTCGGTTACGTTTCTTTCAGACATTTTCTCTAAGCGATCATCTTTGGCATCGGATTTTCTAGCGGAGGAGGTACAAACGGAGGGCGAGGGCTGCTCGTCGCGCTCGCTCGTTTTGGCAGACTCGTACGAACTCGTCGAGTCATTCTCAGAGTTCGAATTCGAATTGAGATTTTCGTGGAACCGTTTACCCATCATCAAGTTTAACCAGTGACCGTCGACGGGCACGATCATGCGTTGCTTTTTATAGGAACTTTTTTCGTTGTTACTGCTAGACGGTTGCGAACTGAAAACAAGAATTTTCATTACCACAGCTACACTGAAACTTATTACATAATTAATTATTTGAAAGATTTATATCATATTCACATTTCAACATATATTTGTTACCTGTCATCAACAGTATGCGGCGCTGGAGCTCTCGATAGTAATCGAAGTCTGGGCGCATATTCCCTCACTAATTCGTCAGTGAGTGGCTCCCCTTTTTTAATCTGTGTGTAAACATATAAAAAGATGAATTAAGTACATTTACAATAATTTACAAAAATATTTTTGAGATACATATAATTATTTTTCGATCTTTTCTGTGGGAGTGCTTCGTGCGGCAGTAAAAATCTTTTAATTCGGTACCCTTGGCTCTTGGTTTCGGAACCAGGTATTGTGGGTTCGATTCCTGAGACAATTATTTGTGTTACTCACAGATAATTCTTTCTCAAATCTGGGCGTTTGTCCACGTGAAACATATGTGTGTAACACGCCCTCGTAAAACCGAGTTATTTCATCCTACAGTAGGAAGCAATGCAGTTTTCGAAGGGACGATTACAATAAACCTTCTAGGTCGCAGTGGTCTTAACATAATACAATAGCTAGCGTTCGATGCCTCTTCCGTTGTTCTGGGACGCGAATGCAGTGCTATCAGATGTTCGAAAAAAATCCACTAAAATTCAGACCAAAACTTCCTGAACGGGTAAAATTTATGAAGTTTATGAATCCACCTTGAGTTTACCGCCTAAAAAACGTCCACTGTGAATTTTTCCCTGCTGGCGTAGGCATCCGTGCGGCGAAAGTACCTGCTCGAGCGCGGAGAGCTGCAGAGGCGGCGGCGGCGGCCGGCGCAGCCTCAGGCCCCAGATGGTGGCGCGCTTCTTCATCTCGCGGCCGCACTTGAACCGCTTCCGCGACGACGTCAGCGCCGTGAGGATCTTCTCGCGACGCTCCTTCGCCGGCGTCCTCCACATCTGGACGGGACGACTGTCTTGTAAGTTTTTTTTAATGTGATAAAGTGGCAAACGAGCTAGCGGTTCACCTGATGTTAAGTGATAACCGCCGCCCATGAACTTTTGAAACACCATAGGGTTTTGCACCAATGCGTTGCCACCTTTAAATAAAGTGAGCCCTGGCTACCTCACTCACCAGACGAAATGCAGAAGTGTAACATTTGTACTTTACGCCGGTCTGTGAGGTCGTGGTACTAACCCGGACGGACCTGCCCATTCGTGCAACAGTGAACACTGTTGCGTGGCCCTACCACAGTTGGGTGCGAATGTAACAGTTCACATCGCACTGTTCCATTCGCACGTTCGGGGGACGGAGATTGGATTAGGGGTAGACGGTTAAAATTAATTATCGGATGCGTGTTTCAGCGCGTACTACAATCAGCCAGTCTACAATCGCTACGTTGGTCGAAGTTACGATAATACCACCTAGCAACGACTGCGAGCCGGATAAGCTTATTTTCGCTTACGCTAGTAAATGACATACATATGTAGAACATTATGGGTCGTGTATAACGTAAGTTTGTGCCTTAGGGAAGCCCGAAGAAGGCCGAAACGAATGCAGAATCGAGATTTTGGAATCGAAATGTACGAGGCCTTCTTTTTTTTATTATTAGACCTAAAAAAAAAGATAATTTGTAGGTTTTTTGCGATGAGGCTAGTGTAGAGCGAAAAGAGCAAAGAGAAAAGGCCCTTCACTGGATAACTTAAAAAACGATCGACAAGAAGGATCATTACTTTGTAACTATTTTATCAGGACCTGTTCCGGACTTGGGTTTAAGTGTTTTAATGATGTCTTCGATCAAATCCGGGTCACTAAATTCAAAGTGCTGCCTGAATGTAAACCTGCCCATGTTCGATAACACGATCTACTTCAGAAAGATGAACTTGAACGACGTGTTCGTAACTCTGGGTCCGCTAAGCATTCGGCGTTTTCGAATATTTTTTTTGTGTAAAAGTGGCAAGGGAGCTGGTTGTTTACCTGATGTTAAGTAATAACCGCCTCCCATGGACATTTGCTACACCCGTAGGGATGCAAATGCGTTGCCATCTTTAAATAAAGTGGGCCCCCCGGCTACCTCATTCACCAGACGAAACGCAGAAGTGTAACACTTGTACACAGTAAACAGTGTACTTGTACACTTGTACACAGTGTACTCACCCGGACGGACTTGCCCATTCGTGCAAACGATGGAAACGGATGCGTGGCCCTACTACAGTCAAAGGGTAGTTAAGCGTTATTAGATCTAACTAAGGCGGTACGAATTGGGCTGTACATTCAATTACTGGCCTAGTAAAGCCAATATGGCAATTAACAATACACTCAAAAAAGCATACGTACTTACCTTTTCAGGTAATTGTAACGCGTGCCAATTGTCCATGATATACGGCATAATAACATTATCTAAATCGAAATAATTGGGTGCATTGTATGCAGTCAGGTTATACAGCGCTAAATGAGCCAGATCCAGCCAACATAGCTCCAACCGCCGCAAGTACTCCTCGCCCCCATTGCAGTTTGCACAGGCAAATATATACAACCTACGAAATTGAATTGGTATTGTTTAATTACTGATAAGTTACAAAAAAAAAATACATAATAACATGTCAAGTATACATACTTATCTCCTGCATATAAAGGATATTGTAAACTTGATACACATCTTTGGTGGAACCATCTGGAGCACCGACAGCATAGTAACATCTGAAAAATTTGTTTCTGTATAAGGCGTCTCCGAGAAGTGTTAATTATTGACTCAATTTTTTTATGTGACAAGCGAGCTGGCGGTTCGCCTGATGTTAAGTGATAACCGCCGCCCATGGACACTTACAACGCTCTAGGGTTGCAGATGAGTTGCCTCTTTTTAATAAAATGGGGCTCTAGTTACCTAAGTCACCACACGAAATGCAGAAATATATCAATTCCACTTCACATCGGTCTTTTGTGAAGTTGTGGTACATCCCAGTACGGACCTGCCCATTCGTGCAACAGCAAATACTATTGTGCGGCTCTACCACAGTTACTAAAAAAGGTTGGCAACACATCCATATCCACAGGTGTAGTAGATACCCACAAGTGATTACCATTTAACATCAGATACTACAACCACCTGCCCATTTTGTTAACTTTTAAAACAAAAAGAGCTCATTTAATTAAAGTCATGTTTCACTGCACAGTCAGTATTGGAATAGGTACATGCAGTTTACTGAAGAAGAGCACTGTCTTCTCATTCACAACTGTATCCAAACAAATTCTATTTTGGACGAGCTTAAACGAATGAATGCTGTCTGAAATGAGCACTCTTTGGAAGAGTTTAAACGGATGAATTTTGTCTGAAATGAGTACTCTTAGCTGTCAACAAGTTGTGATGGTGATACTGGTTAAGAAAATTGTACACACAGTGTGTACAAAGTTTTGTTAATTAGCACATTGGTGGAATAAAGCGACTATCATTCGTGGTTTTACTTTGCTACTGTAGTAACTAAATCAAAGTTTCATTAAACATATTACCTGCGCAAGCCAATCGCTTTTCTCGCCACAATAACAATGCGTCTCATCTGGATCTTTACCACCGTCGGAAGCAGTTGAAGAGGATGTGGTTGACGCAGTCTAGTATAAAATATAATATTATTCATTACTTTCTATAAGTCATATAATTAATATTAAGTCACATTCAATATTATTTATCTATTATTCATTTATTTATCTCAACAAGAGGAATTAAAAGTTTTAAATGTAATTTTAGACATCCAGAATTATTTCACTGATAGACGGTACAGGCTAAATGACTTATTGTCTCTTAGTAAGAACTAATTGAGTAATCACGCAAACACAATGCAGAACTTTCGGATCTTAAAGCGAGCACGCGGAAACTTCTTGTCTTCAGGAATTAAAGTGACATCAGTCGCCATGGGGCATGTATTTTACTTTAACTGCATGATGTTTTCATTTGCAGTTCTAGCAGTAGCTATTACTAAGAAAATAACAATTATAAATAGTAATTTACAGCTCTTGTTGACCAACTTCGACCTTGTACAGGCTAAATGACAATCAAACGACTCACTATGCTAAGGCAGTCTCACTTAAATTGAGCATACATTTAACGCACTTGTTTAAGGTTCAAGTGTCAGCTAGTTGCCCTCGAATCGGGTCTTATCTGTTATCAGTCGCATTTCAAGCGTATCCTGTATTATCATTAATGGGTCGAATGTACTAACGTCGCATGGCGGTGTGAGTTCCTGCTGCTGACGCCGCTGCTGGCCGCCCTTGAACCGGAACAGATCGGAGCGTTTCATCGCCCGGTTCTCCGCGGCCGCCACTCTGTACCTTTGATCTACGCACCTCTTGCAATGCCATGACGCACCTACGGGCATACACGATTTTTACGATTAGAACATTACGAAACTTTAAATTGTGAATTGGACAATAAGACATGGACATTAGATGGCGCTAAGCATCGTAGATAGATGTCGAGATTTTCGCGTCGTGGGGTCATCGGCTTTAAATTAGTCGGTAAAGCGTCTTGATTTTGTTGCCTTATATACAAAAACTAACAATTAAAACTTTCATGTGCAGAGACTAGCCACGCATCTGCTTCTGTTGTAGCTCGAATAGGCAGGCTCGTTCGGGAGAGTACCACTGCCTCACGGAAGACGAGTTTAAAGTGGAAGTATTACACTTTCACGCTACACTTTTTCACGCAAAATAATGATCAAGTAACCTACAATCTACATGATTTAAGATGTTAAGACCACTACTACTAACGTTTTAAAGTGATAAAAATGTGATGTAGGTACCTAAAATAGCTTCTTAACGTTCGTATTACATATTTAAAAATATTTTCGCCATCTACGTAAAAGAAGTCGCGGGTTAAAGTTAGCGTTAGGCCAAAATAACTATTTCACGCGGAGGAAATCGCGGGCACAACCATTATTCAATATATCTCTTCGCTTTGGACACCCCTGATTCATCTTCAGCGGGGACCAGGCCGGGGAGATCGCTCACCGTGTATCCAGAATTGTTCTGGGGTAATGAGGTCGTTGAGATAGCCATAATCTTTAAGGCCGTTAAGGATAATAGGCTCATATAGCCTTCTCAAGCAACTGGGGAAGCTAGCTGATCGTGTTGGCCGATGACCTGTTAGCGTTAGTTTGTTCGGCTTGCGATTGCCGATAACTGTGGCCTCCTTCTGTCGTTCGGGAAGCAGCATAGCAAGAATTACATTGAACGGTCTTTGTTACTTTGCAACTTGTAGCGATCGCTCACCGTGTATCCACGCCTCGACGGGCGGCGAGTGGCACTCGGCGTGGTAGCCGCGGCCGCACATGTCGCACGCGACCACGGCGCCCCCCGCGGCCGACTCGCCGCGCCGCTTGCACACCACGCACATGATGCGGCCGTCGTCCGCGGGCGGCGCGCTCAGCAGCTTCAGCGAGGCGACCGGCGCCCACGCGTGCGTGCCGTCGCCGAACTTGACCAGGCAGCGCGCCACGCCGGTGCCCACCTCGCACGAGTCGTTGTCGTTGCTCGTGCTCAGCTCGACTATCGTGCCTGCCGTTTGGGGAACAGTCAACAGGCGGTAGGTGGTAGGTGGGGCCACGCGGCAGCCAGCCTCCGCTGGGGTAAGTACAGCGACCTCACAGAAGACCGCCGTGAAGCGGAAGTGTTTTATATATACTTTCGCGTTTCTTCTGGCGAGTGAGGTAGACGGAGCCCAATTTTCAAAAGGTTGTCGACACATGTGCAACCCTCGGGTGCAGCAGATGTCCGTGGGCGCGGTATTTATTCACTTAACATCAGGTGAACCGCCCGCTCGCTTGACAAATTCTCATATTAAAAAAAAACACCTCTTTAGGATACTGCAGGGCCACGCGACAGCTCCGGCTATTGCGCGAATGGGCAGGTCCTTCCGGTTAAGTGCTACGATCTCGCCGAGGACCGGAGTGAAGTGGATGTGACATACTTCTGCGTTCGTCTTGTAAGTTAGGTAGCTGGGGCCCACTTTATTATACCCCTGCTTTTCTTATGTGAAGTCCGCCAATCCGCAGTGAGGCCGCATGGTGGACTATGGCCTAATACCTTCTTTACAGAGGAGGCCCTTGCCCGGCGTTGTGGGACATATATAGGCTGTCACTTTAGTTTAGTTTTTTAGGATGGTTTGTTTTTTTTTTGGTATAATGACGTTAGGTCGTTTTTGTTATTTTGTTACCAGCCGTCACTGGGTGACATTGACGATACATTTATACACATAATATGTGGAATAGCTCTAAAGAAGTATGCGTTTAAAATTGGTTGCCAGTAAAAGTACTGTGCTGAGGATGTAGTAATATGTGTTAAACACAATCAAAGTATTTATTATTATTGTTAAATGGTAAACGGCATCTTAGAAGTTCCTTTCGACAAAATTTGTCGAAATTTATGCGAGTCTATTTATAACCGTTATTGTTGGACGCGCGAGATCGTCAGGCGCTAGCAACACCAGGCGGCAATAAAAAGGCTAAGGGAACCCCTTGTTTTATGGAGAGTAGAAAAAGAGAAGAACAAGAACAAGGAAACATTATTCATTACAGGGACTTTGAATCTAAACTACCCATCATAAATGGGATATGAGAGATTAAAGACTGAAGAACGAAAAAAGAAAATTATGGAAAATAAATACAAATCTTAACCCTAGTAAAGTGTTATAAATTATTTATGTAGAAAAACATTAATTTAAGTAGAAAGCACAATATTAGCACAGAGTAATTTATTAAATATATTATAAAATAAAATAAGGGTTTTATAAAGTTCTATTCCTCTATCTAGATGTTTGTATAGACTTACCTAAGTAATATCGGCCATCTTTGTTTGGTACCAGGACATCATCCCCGCAATGAAATGGGTTCCCATTATTCTTTTCCGTATTGGTTGTAGAGTCTGGCATTGCATCCTGTGTTTCTTCTTCTTTTTTCTCATTCTTTTTATTAGCACATGGCTTAATGGTTTTGTCAAAGTTGCTCAGAAGAGCATCGATCAGGGACAACTGCTTTGAAACCTCTTAAAAAAACCACTTTATATTAATTATCATATTCACTTAGTGCTATATAAAAGTTCTATGATTAGTAATTAGAGGAGAAACATGGGCATGTTATTGATAAAGTTGTTTTTGTACTCAGGTAATATGGTATAAGCTATTAAGTTTTTAGGGAAAGTTGATATTCTTGCAGCTTCTTCATTAAATTAATTATATATTTGCTGTATAGGATATATTAAGCATTTTCTTTTATCACCCATATATAATTTATATGTTTTTTCATAAACTTAAAGAATTCCTCTGATATATTGTGTAGATATCTTTTGCTCATTCATATACAAAAGAATTAATGTATTAATTAAAATTAAATAGTTTTATTGATATTTTAAATCAAACATTGAAGACAAATTAATAAAAGAACAATCTTTAATGTAATAACATTATTTAATGCTTCATTGTTATAAAAATTAAAGAACAGTTAAACAACACATATTTTCTAATAAAAAGAATTTTAAAGTTTACATGGTTTTAAGCAGTTTTTATACAATTTAACAATTCAAATTATAATAATTAATAAGCCTTAAAAGTTAGTGCTTTTAAACATGGATTATAATAATTTTAAATGTGGATAAACACAACAAAATAATTTTATAATAAATCATTGTTGTGACTGATACTTGAGAAAAGTGATAAATTAACCACTATTAAATATAAACAAAAATGCCCTATAATTTTGGTCATGGCATAATGGAATTCATAAATTTTACCTTTTTTGGTTTAAGCATAAAAGACTATAATTTAAAATTAATCCTTTAAGCTAGAATTAGATTACACTTTGAGAAATTGAATACTGATTGATTCAATAGAGGCTAAAGAAAGAAGTGCAAAAGACCAGAGTTATAATGTACAAAACGGATGATGCTTAATATTTACTTAGCAAGAATTAGATTTTAACATACTTTTCAAATGTTGTTACCTTTTTCCATATGTATTAAATTTAACTATTGTGTATCAGTCCGACAAATATTATAAAAATATCTCTTAATTCAGATATTTATGTTACAAATACTTACATGAAATAATTCCATCGGTCAGCAAAGGAAAAAAAAATAATTTATAGGTTTATCAATTATAACTTACCATGGTAAATATATTTAAAAAGCGAAATCGAATTCCATATTCACTACAATGGTTTAATTTTATTGTAATGGAAAATAAAAATAAACATTTACAAGTTAAAAGAAAAAACCATTCCAATTTTAGTTTTTAATTTTTGTAAAAAGTAAAGATCTAGATACCTAAATGACAGTAATAATATTTAACACTTAGGAAAGCTAGAATAGCTTCTAAAATGTGTTCTAATAATAATGATTCTACAATAATTTTCTTTAAAGTAAAATATCCTGCCAATGTGCGTATAATGCTTGGTAGCTAGTAATAAGAAATAACGGATTTGAGAGAAAACCACGGAATAATCTCTATTATTTTATCAGTTTACACAATATAAAGAACCAAAGGTTTGTCAAGTAGTTTCCAGTTCAGGATAGACATATTGTTTTTATGTTAATAAAATAAATAACAAGAAGTCAATTTTCTGATAATTAATAAGTGAATATTATAATTAACAATTAAATTGATACAGAAACCTATTTAACCAAAACTTATCAAAAGCATAAGTATAAAAATCTCCAGTCTACCCATTTGCTAAATAAGGCCATAACACAGCATAACTTAATTAAAACTTACCAACTTCCATTTCAAATACGTTTCTATTTGATATATACAACATACATGCACCTTATTCCATTCTTAAATTTTATTAAGAAAGAACAAACACTAAAAGCATTGGCGCTATTGCGGCCATTATCGTAGTCAAACGTTTCACAGTTTTCCCGCGGTAACAAATAACGAATAATAAAATGTTCAATGAACATTAATGTTTTTTGTTATCTAAACGCCTTGCGATACATTTTCTTGAGTTTTTACAAATGTATATTATTCCTTTACACACAATTTATAATAAAATTACAAAATACCACTTCAAATTCTCTAATCGGATATGTTAAGCACAGATAAAAAAAAGTTTAGCAGTTTTTATTTAGCAGTAAGCAGATACAGTATATTTAGGATAATTTTTTTTATCTTTATAGAGGGGCAAGCAGAAAATACATAGTGTCAAAAATTTATTGCTAATATTTCAAAATTTCAAATACATTCTTCGCAACCATTTTGGACATAGTTTTTATTGTGATTTTACGTATTAATTAAATTTATTTTTCTGAAGGGTTATTTTTGCGTTCTTTTAGGTAATTTAATTTCGAAAAAATAAAAACTTATTTTGGAACATTAAGAAGCTGTAGAAGTTTTTAAGCTAAGAGCGATAACTTCGTACGTTAACTTCTCAATAAAAACTGAGATCTGAACATTGTGTTTGTGTAAGTTAATATATGCGATCAGTCCGAAGTAATTATCATTATCATCATCACTTCAGTCTGTTTGAGTCCACTGAATACACGATTTAGGTGATTACAACGACTAATTAACTTAATCTTACCACCAGACAACACGTCGCCCTAAGAATTCGGCATTCGAGACCTGAACGTACGAATGTCAGCGTCGGTGCTGTGGATAACCACGTTGTGCACCACCACCTTTCAGATCTGAGAAAACCATAGATCTAACGGGTTAATGTCCGCCGATGCCGCACCACACCTAGCGCGGCTCGCAATATGTGCGTTAACAAACACACTTTGCTCAGCGCATTCAATGGCGAGTGTGAGTCCCCGATTATCAGCCTATACACTATCACCCACTGTGCAGCAAGTCATTTTTGAATCGCTTAAGTCGTGTTTTTATTATTTAATTGCAAATCTGCATACGTTCAGTTGATTATCACGTAACTAATTACGAAACTTTTATTGAAGTTATACTTCTTTTGGGGCGTTTGGACCTTACCTATAATTCCAAGTTATAATAAACCGTTATCAATTGCATTTAATATAAGAAGTATAACTTCATACGTACGTACATAAGTATACATGCGTTTATTTTCAAAAATGACCTGTTTCCGCGAATCGATTATTTTCATGAATCTTGTGGACTTACTCGTAAATGATTAATTCTCGCAATTGTGTTGTTTTTGTAAATAAATTTTTTAGTGGATTTAATTTTTCGTAATCGATCGTTTGACTTCATGCCTTGAATATAAATCGCAATTTCAACCTTATTACTTCCCCTGAGTTTGACTGTTGGTGGTGACACAATCCGAGGTCAAATTCAAAACTTCCAGTCCAGCTGAGGCGCCCTTAGATCGTGTACCGTAGTATTCGATCCATCTTTTGTTAAAGAGTTGGTGGAGATTCAGGGCAGATGGCATCAACGTGTTATAATCGCGCACCAGTTACTTTGTTCTCTTGAGTCCGTGGGTCGAATCTCAAAACTGAGAATAGCTAACAGCAAACTAGCTTGATACAAAATATATTTTTTTTCTAACTTTTGTTTTATATTTTACGATTACATTACCTATATTGTTTTATCTATAATATTGTGTAACAATTTACACGTACACGTAAGTTCAGTTATGCAAATTCCGTTTACTCACTGTTTTCAACGTATGAGAAAAGATATAATGCACTTATGGCGAGATTTCTGGAAGACTGATTAAGAAATTAAGGGAAAATGGTATGGAGAGATACAGCTGGACTTACCGTGCAAGCCCTGGTATGACGTATTAAGACTAAGAGCTGTTAGCAGAGATTTTATAACCATAATAAAACGCCTTAGATTTGGACATTCCTGTACGCCAGGCCACTTGCATAAATTGAAAATTATTGACAATAACAGATGTGAACATTGTGGACATGAACCATGTGATGCCGAACATTTGATTTTTTCATGCCCGTTATTCTCTATACAACGTTTGATACTTGCAAGTGACATAAGTGAAATAAGTTGTTTACACCTAAATAATACCCCCCGCCGCTTATGTGAATTACTAAAAATTAAAGAGACCTATTATCCAATATACAAATATATTAAAAATACTTTCAAGTAACGAAGTAAATAAAGTGAATAAGTGATGTGCATATAAATTAAGACTTGGCCTAAAGGTCCTTGATACCGGACCATAAAATCCAAAAAAAAAAAAAATTACACGCACAACAAACGTCATCCATTCGTCAAGTCAATCAATTATTTTTATTTTATTATTATTTGGTAGAGAAAGTTCAGGTTTCCTGGACATTATTATAGTGACAGTATTTTACAATACAACAAGCAGAATATATTAACCCTTCAGTTGAATGTTTTTATTAATATAAACTTATAAAAAATATGGGTAATTCTGGCCTTAAACAACATTATGATACTGCTGCGAAGACAGGTGTTTTGCAAATATCTGATCGGAAATTAAAGGAAATACCATTGGAAGTGCTTAATTTATCAGAGAATCTACGAAATTTAGACTTATCGAAAAATAAAATTTCTTGTATACCTGATGACATCAACAGGCTAAAATATTTAAAACAGTTAAACATGAGTGTAAACATGATAGGAACTTTACCAGAATCTCTGGCTAATTTAAAGAAACTTGAGATGCTGAACTTGTCAAATAATTTAATTTCGTATTTACCACAGCGTTTTTCCGATTTAAATAATTTGAAACAAGTTTTTTTGAGTAATAACAAATTTAAAGAATTTCCCCTTCAATTGTTGTGTTTAAATAATTTAGAAGTTGTTGACCTCTCTAGTAATAAAATTACACGCATACCAGAAGGCATGTCAAACTTATATGCTGCAGAGTTAAATTTAAGTCAAAATGAGATATCAACACTAAGTGAAGATTTGCATCAGGCACCCAAGTTAAAAATATTGAGACTTGAAGAAAACTGTTTAAGTTTAGATGCTATAAGGCCTAGTTTACTAAGAGATTCTAAAATTCACACTATCAATATTGATGGTAATTTATTTGAAACAAAACAGCTGGCATCAATAGAAGGTTATAATGAATATACTGAAAGATATACGGCCATGAAGAAAAAAATGTTTTGAAATAACAAATTTTTTAACAATTTATCATTTCATATTATTATTCTAAAAATAAAGCCTGGATATTGAAAAAAAAAAACATTGATTTAATTTTGTCAATTTGCTTAGCTTCACACTGAATCACACAATTTGTATTATATTACTATACTCACAATATTTTTATATGTACTATTTGATTTTCTATAATGTACTTTATAAATTATTACACACAAAACTTGTATTTTCTTTCCTCTCAGTTCCCTCACTGCTGAGGACCGTGACACATATTCAATTGGTCAACAAGCTGTCTCCATTGGTTTCTCTCCATTGCCTGGTGGTCTGGCGCTTACAAGGATTTCCATGTTTTCAGAAATTTGATCCAATCACCGTTTACGATTACAGTCTCCATGTCTTTTACCCTATATTTTATCCATCACCAACAAAGGCTTAAGGTTGTCTAGTCCCCTGCATGCAATATGGCTGAAGTATATATTTTGGCTTATTATTTAACTTGTCTAAAACATTACTTTAAGGATGCAGACATAATTATTTATAAGTGTATTAAAAAATAAGAGTTGATACTCAAAAAACTGATATTATTCTTTTACTTTTAAACTAATTTTTATTAATTGTTGTACATTGAGTTATTTTGAGTCAGTTCTTATAAACATCGAAAAGCACATGGATTTCAATCATAAGATATTTTTATTTGAAAAGGGACCATATTGTATTCCTAATTTAACTTAAAAAAACATTGTATTAATTGAGTTAAACGGAAACAAATGGAGCTGCAGGACTCGAACCTTCCGTTTTCGCGCCCAGACGCTTTACTATAGCATTAATATAGCATTTACTATAGCGCAAAGCGTCCGATAACCTCACAGCGTAAAAACCTCGATATTTATTTACGTAGCTGCTGCCCGTGATTACGTCTGCGTAGAATAGGCTGAAGGCGTAACATTCAGACAGAAAGACAAATATACATAAAATATGTATATAAATTATAGGCTATGTCTTATTCTGATGTATAAGCTAAATCATTGTAACGTTTCATTAAAATCCATTCAGTAGTATTTACGTGAAAGAGTAACAAACATCCATCCATACTTTCGCCTTTATAATATTAGTTAGGATAATACATGCATTTTTAGCAACGCTTGGCTTGGCCATCTTCTGTACATACTTCAAAGCATGAACTTTAAACATCTTACAGAGAACATTCTATGATGATTTTGTAATGAGAGATGTCAGCTTTAAACTTAACACCTTAGTGACTTAGTGAAGCGTCTGGGCGCGAAATCGGAAGACGCAGGTTCGAATCTCACAGTGCTGAAAGTTTGTGTCGTCGTTGTTGTTGCTGTCTTGCACTTCTCTAAAATTTATATTTTTTAGTTTAGCTGCTGTTCTACCAGCTGTAAAGCTGACATAATTAAATTATTGAAATTATTTAATTACTAAGTTAAATATAGCGTCGATATATCAGATCAGACCTTAAGCTGTATTCTTTACTTTCTTTATTTCGATAGTTTTCTTTAGAGACTGACCGAAGGTTTGGTATCGGTTTAGGTTTCGGCCGTTTTCGGTAAAAAAAATCAAGTTTCGTACTAAATTGTTTGTGCGACCGTACAACAAAACCATATTTTCCAAATATTGTTGATTTGAGTATCGAACTTCCACGTTACGCAGTCGAAACGTTGATTAAAAATCTGTTAACTATAAAAGACTAGCAAA